AGGAGCTTCTTTCAGGTCTCCCACATGGGTGCAAGGTTCCAAGGACTTGGGCCATCCTCCACTACTTTCCCAGGCCATAGCAGAGAGCTAGATCAGAAGTGGAGCAGCCGGGATTCGAACCGGTGCCCATATGGGATGCTGGCACTGCAGGCAGTGGCTTTACCCACTATGCCACAGCGCCAGCCCCTCGAATACATTTTTAAGAAGTAAAACATTTTAGAAATAGTCCCATGTATTTTTCCTTCTATGAAAGTAACTTGTGCTTCAGATTAGTTGAAAACAATCTTGAAAAAGAAGAACCAAGTTGTAGAAGTCACACTTCCTGATTTTAAAACTTCTCGCGTGTGCATGGTTGTACTCTCCATCATGTATCCAGACTGTGCTGCTGGCATAAGGAGAGATGGAACTCACTGTCCGGAAACATACCCACGGATTTATGCACAATCAGCCTTCCACAACTGGAGAAGTAAATCTTTTCAACCGATGATGCTGAGATAACTGGGTATCTACAGGCAAAAGAATGAATCTAGACCCTAAACAAACAAACAAAAAAAACTAAAATTATCAAAAGGGGTTGGTGTTATGGCACAGCTAAGCCACCACCTGCAGCACTGGCATTTCATATGGGCGCTGGTTCATGTCCTGGCTACGCCACTTCCAATCCAGTTCCCTGCTAATGGCTTGGGAAAGCAAGAGAGGATGCACCCACGTGGGAGACCCAGATGAAGCTCCTGGCTCCTGGCTTCAGTCTGGCCCAGTTATGGCCATTGACACCATCTGGGGAGTGAACTAGCATATGGAAGATCTTTCTCTCCCTCTCTCTCTCTAACTCTTTTTTTTTTTTTTTTTTGACAGGCAGAGTGGACAGTGAGAGAGAGAGACAGAGAGAAAGGTCTTCCTTTGCCGTTGGTTCACCCTCCAATGGCCGCTGCTGCCGGCGCACCGCGCCTATCCGAAGGCAGGAGCCAGGTGCTTCTCCTGGTCTCCCACGGGGTGCAGGGCCCAAGCACTTGGGCCATCCTCCACTGCACTCCCTGGCCACAGCAGAGAGCTGGCCTGGAAGAGGGGCAACCGGGACAGAATCTGACGCCCCGACCAGGACTAGAACCCGGTGTGCCGGCGCCACAAGGCGGAGGATTAGCCTAGTGAGCCGCGGCGCCAGCCTCAAATAAATAATCTTAAAAAAAAAAAAAAAAGGAGGCAATTCTGACTTAAGGTACAAGAGAGATGAATCTTGAAAACCTTGCTAATGTGAAACACCCCGGGTGGGCAAATTCACGGAGAGAGTAAGCCAATGAGCGGGTGCCAGGAGGAGAGGGAGGGGCTGCTGGCGGGCGGGGCTCCTTTTGGAGGAGAGGAAAACTGCTGCAGGCTGTGCAACCTCAGGCCTGTGCTCCAGTGCACTGGGCCTTCGCCATGGTGACTTCCAGATTCTGTGAGTTTCTAATTATTGATTCTGAAAGACTTATCTTTATTTGAAAGGCAGAGTGACGGGGGCAGGGCAGGGGGGAGAGGTCTTCCATCTGCTGGTTCACTCCTTCAGTGGCTGCAACAGCTGGGGCTGAGCCAGGCTGAAGCCAGGAGTCTGGAACTCCATCTGGGTCTCCCATGTGCGTGGCGGGGTCCAGGCATTTGGGCCATTGTCTGCTGCTTTCCCAGGTGCATTAGCAGGAAGCTGGATCGGAAGCAGAGCAGCCGGTGTTCAAGCCAGTGCTGGGATTATGGGATGCTGGTGTTGCAAGCAGTGGCTTAACCAGCTCCGAAACAGTAAAGGAGTATGTGTGTGTGCGTGTGTGTGTGTTGTTTTAAAGAGAAAGCCTCTTGCTCTCCCCTGGAGGATATCACGGGTGGGAAGGAGCCATGGACAAAAGAGAGCAGGGTGCATGCAGCCAGGGTCCGCTCCAGGGGAATGGGGGTGGGGAGACTCAATTCCAGCACAGTGCACATGAGGGCAAGGCAGGGGCACACCAAGTTCTGGGGCAATCAGGCTGCCCGGCACGAGGAGTCCATAACTAAGGTTGTGGGCAAGCCCCAGTCCTGCCCTCTGGGAGTTGATTTATCATAAATCTGTCATCTGAAAGCTGCTTGCCTAGGAGAGTAACAGCATTTGCAAAATGCTCTCCAGGTGTGTGCCGTGTGGCAGGTGCTCTGTGTCGGGCACTGGGCACAGCCCTCTGAGCTGGTGACCTGTGTTGTGTTCCCCTAGCTTAGCGGGTTTGCCCAGGCATCCTGGCTGCAGAGTGGAGGGGCTGCCGGCCCCCCGGCGAGGGGAAAGACCTTGGAGCTCACATTCTTTGGCTACCATCCCCACCGAGCAGACCACGGCTGCCTTCCGCAGCATGGCCTTGTGGGGCCAGCCATGGGGCTGGGCACTGGGGCCATGGTGGTGACTAAGGCAAGGCCTGCCCTAGGGTAGCAAACAGCACAGAGACAGGAAATGAGCTTGGATGTCATTGGCACTGCACAAAAAACCAAAGACCAAAGCTTTGAGAGAGATTTCAGAATTGCACACATGACGAAGCCCGTTCAGGGTGTGGGCTGGCGCCTGCCTGGGAGCAAAGCCCGCGGTCGCACGCTGTTGTTATGTCCAAGGCCACGCAGCAGCCTAGCAACACTGGGATGCACACCCAGCTGTTGGAGAGCATGCAATTCAGTGCTCCTTCCAGGCGAGCGCCGGGCAGAGAAAAACCTTTCCAGGTTAGCGGACACTCTGCGTGGAACTCCTTAGGAAAAAGAGTGGGGCTGGCACTGTGGCACAGTGGGTAAAGCTGCCGCCTGCAGTGCCGGCATCCCATATGGGCACTGGTTTGAATCCCGGCTGCTCCACTTCCAATCCAGCTCTCTGCTATGGCCTGGGAAAGCAGTAGAGGATGACCCAAATCCTTGTCCCCTGCACCCACGTGGAAGACCCAGAAGAAGCTCCTGGCTCCTGACTTTAGATCTGCTCAGCTCTGGCCATGGCGGTCATCTGGGGTGTGAACCAGCAGATGGAAGACCTCTGTCTCTCTCTCTACCTCGGCCTCTCGGTAACTCTGCCTTTCAAATAAATAAATAAATCTTTTTTTAAAAAAAGAATGAAATGTACAAACACCTCTGGGCATGGGAGCACACTGTTGGGGTCTCTCCCATGCAAGCCTCCAGACCAGAGGGACTTCTGTGCTGGCCCGGTGCTGTGGAGGGCCCGGCCAGGTCCTATACAGCCACAAGCCGGCTCGGGACCTGCGGTGCTGTGCTCCTCCAGGAGCTGGGTCCTGGCCAGCTGCTCTCGTGACCAAGGCTGGTCCTTCTCCACGTCTCTCACCCCATACCCTCCAAGCACACCCTGTGGTGTGTGTGCTGCTACCGCACATGGGGCTCGCACACCTCCGTCGGGGGAAGCACAGGAGGCAGCAGCGACAGCCCACACCTTTCCCAGATCGCACAAATGTCACAGACGCCATCCCAGCAAAGAGCCCTTTCCTAGGAAGGCCACGTGTTCCATCTCGTGGTCCTGGACACAGACATGAATTAGTGCAGTGTTCACAGCAGTGGCCTGCGGCAGTGAAGGCGTGTGAAGCAGACAGATGCCTGTTTTCCACACAGAAGCAGCTCCAGGCCAGCACCGTGGCTCACTAGGCTAATCCTCCACCTGCGGCGCCGGCACACCGGGTTCTAGTCCCGGTCGGGGTGCCGGATTCTGTCCCGGTTGCCCCTCTTCCAGGCCAGCTCTCTGCTGTGGCCAGGGAGTGCAGTGGAGGATGGCTCAAGTCCTTGGGCCCTGCACCCCATGGGAGACCAGGAGAAGCACCTGGCTCCTGCCTTCGGATCAGTGCGATGCGGCAGCCATTGGAGGGTGAACCAGCGGCAAAGGAAGACCTTTCTCTCTGTCTCTCTCTCTCTCTCTCTCACTGTCCACTCTGCCTGTCAGAAAAAAAAAAAAAAAAAAGCAGCAGCTCCAGGCAGATGGCTGTGGCCAACTGGAGAGTGAACCAGTGGATGGAAGACCTCTCTCTCTGTCTCTACCTCTCTCTGTAACTCTTTCAAATAAATCTTTAAAAAAAATAAGTAAAAATCCAACACTCAGTGTCTGTTAAGAATCTAACACTCAGTGTCTGCTAAGAGAGTCTGAACTCCTTGATTCCACTCACATAAAATGCACAAGCAGATGAAAGGCATCATGTCACAGGCAGGGATCCCCCAGGGAAGGTGGTGACTGGAAGGAGGATGAGAGGCTGTGGCGCTGGCCACGTCCTGTCTCTCCATATGGGTTCTGCTTATACAGGTGTGTTCAGTGGGTGACAATGCAGAAACTCCACATGAGGCCAGGGCTCTTTGCTCTGCTTTGCAACTTCTCATTCTTTCCTTCCTGATCAGGCATCTTTCCTTGCTCTGTTCATTCTAAGAGGGCCAGTCAGTTCTTTGGTTCTGCAGGCTGGAGCCCCAGGGTTGAGGGGCCGTGTGTAGTGCAGGGCCTCTTGCTGGTGGGGACTGCATGGGGCATCGCTTGGTGCACAGACAGGTCCAGACCTCCCACTATGGAAGCGCCACGCCGAGGGCTTGCACTCTGTAGGGCTGCAGCTGGGGCTCCTGCGGTCCCAGCCTCCTCCTCCTCACACTCAGGCACTCCTTGCCCTTCCACTCACATCCTCTCGGAAGTGTGCAGTGGAGTTTTCCAGAAACTCCCTGGTGTGCGATGACATCACTGCTTGATGACTACTACAGCGCGTGCTTGTGTTTTCAAAGCAGAACAAGGGGCCCGCGCTGTGGCTTAGGGGCTAAGCCCTGCCCGCGCACTGGCATCCCATACGGGCACTGGATCATGTTCTGGCTGCTCCTCTTCCAATCCAGCTCTCTGCTATGGCCTGGGAAAGCAGTGGAAGATGGTCCAAGTCCTTAGGCCCCTGTACCCGCATGGGAGACCTGGAAGAAGCTCCTGTTCCTGGCTTCAGATTGGTTCAGCTCCAGCCATTGTGGCCAATTGGGGAGTGAACCAGCAGACGGAAGACCCCCCCCCCCCGCCTCTGCCTCTGTAACTCTGCCTTTCGAGTAAAATAAATAAATCTATTGAAAAAATACTCACAGTTAGAGTTTACATTAACACAAGCTCTTCGGGGGTCCTCAGTAACTGTTAAGAATGAAATTGAGAGGCCGGCACTGTGGCTCACTTGGTTAATCCTCTGACTGTGGTGCCGACATCCCATATGGGCGCCGGTTCTGTCCCGGTTGCTCCTCTTCCAGTCCAGCTCTCTGCTGTGGCCCGGGAGTGCAGTGGAGGATGGCCCAAGTCCTTGGGTCCTGCACCCCATGGGAGACCAGGAGGAAGCACCTGGCTCCTGGCTTCAGATCTGTGCAGCACCAGCCGTAGCAGCCATTTGGGGGGTGAACCAACAGAAAAGGAAGACCTTTCTCTCTGTCTCTGTCTCTCTCACTCTCTCACCATCTGTAACTCTACCTGTCAAATAAATTTTTAAAAAAATTTTTTTTAATAAAATTGAGTCTTTCTTTCTTCTTTTAAAGAGATTTATTTAGTTGAAAAGCAGAGAGAGAGAAAGGAGAGATGGAGAGAGAAAGGAGATATTTCTATCTGCTGGTTCACTCCCCCAGTGGTCTCAATGGCCAGGCCTGGGCCAGGCCGAAGCCAGGAGCCAGGAGCTTCTTCTGGGTCTCCCACATGGGTGCAGGGGCCCAAGGACTTGGGCCATCTTCTGCTCTCACAGGTGCATTAGCAGGGAGCTGGATCAGAAGTGGAGCAGCCAGGACTTGAACCAAATGCTTGAGAGCTGTCGGTCTGTAGATCTTAATACCACTTTAAGAAATTTCCAGGATGTAAGGGGTGGCAGTTTACGCAAGGAAATAAAAATATTCTTGTAATTTTGGGGGAACAGCAACAATTTATCCTATGTCATATTTGTACGTGATACATACAGACTGGTTCTCCACTCAGGAATTGCTTCAAGAATTATATCAATTCTTGGTGAGTTGAAGCTTCTCCAAATTGAAATTAATAAAAAGCTAAGTGCCATGATAACTCAAGAGAGGTTTTCTAGGTTCAGTGCTGTTGTGTATGGGTAAAGCTGCCGCCTGCAGCGCCGGCATCCCATATGGACGCCAGTTTGAGTCCTAGCTGCTCCACTTCCAATCCAGCTCCCTGCTAATGTGCCTGGGGAAGCAGCAAAAAGATGGCCTAAGTCCTTGGGTCCCTGTACCCACATGGGAGACCTGGAAAAAGCTCCTGACTTCAGATCAGCCCAGCTCCAGCCATTGCAGCCATTTGGGGAGTGAACCAGTGGATGGACCTCTCTCTCTCTCTCTCTCTCTCTCTCTCTGTCCTTCCCTCTCTCTGTAACTCTGCTTTTCAAGTATATAAAAATAAATGTTTTTTAAAAAAGAGTGTCTAATTTGGCATGACTATAATTTACATTAAGATCTTTATTATAATCTTTATTATAAATGTATAATTGGTGACTTTGCTATGACAAAAGAAAAATAAGCTTTATTGAATAAAAGCACAATAATTACATATATATTTGTCACTCAGCCAAGTAGGCAGATAGAAAGCACTTTATGTAACATTTTGTCAGCTTGATTGCCTTTCAACATTGAGAAACATGAGAGCAGACATTCGGCTTAGCAGGTAAGAGGCTTGTTTCCTGCACTGGAGCACCTGCGTTCCGTACCTGACCCCTAAGCTTCCTGCCGAAGTGCACCTTGGGAGGCAGCAGGTGAAGGTTCATCCACGAGGAAACCAGGGTGGAGCTGCCAGCTTCAGCCTGGCCCAGCCCTGGCTTGTCGTGTTTGGGAAGTGAACGACGATCTCTATCTCTGCCTGTCTCGCTGCCTCTCTAATAAACAGATAAATAAGCAAATAAATAAAATGCAGACACAGGGTATGAGAACTGCCTGGGGTCCTGCCAAGGTCCAGCGTGGGCGTGGCCCTGTCCACTGGGTCGTCACATCTCATGGAAACAGGCAGGTTTCTCCCTCCTCCTCCTCTTGGTCATCTCCTGGAGAGCAAGGTTACGTGCATTCCTCAGCCCAAGTCCTGGGGCTCCCTTCTCCCCCACAAGGTCCTGGCACTGCCTGGGCAGCGTGGAAGTCACCGTCCACACACGTGGGGAACTCACGCAGAGCCGGGAGGGCTGGGAGACCACCCCGGCCCCTTCTCCCACCCCACAGGGCTTGCCAGGAGAGTTGAGTCCCAGGGGAGAAGAGGGGGCGGATCCCCTCCCTGGGCAGGCTCGACCTTGGGAACAGGTGGCCCGGCTGCTCGCGGGGGGTGGGGGTGAAGGTCTCAGACTGCGACTGGGCTCAGAGGCGCTCCAGGCCAGGTGTGGCTAACGCAGCTCGGCTTGCCCAGGCGCAGTTTCTCCACCCAGGTGGCCCATCCGGCCAGGAAATCTGGGTCAGCAGGCCTTGCCCAGACCTCAGCTCTCTTGCCAGACAGCTGCTTTGGAGCCCAACAAGGTGGAGAATGAGGGGCAGAGGGAGCAGGGGCGGCAGCCCCAGGGGGAAGCCGGCTCAGCATCTGGTACCACACAGGGCGTCAGGTCAAGGAAGTCCCAGCTGGCCCCTCTGCCCACGCGGGACCCTGGGATGCACCTGGGTTGTGGGTTTCGAGGACCAAGAGTCATGGCTATGAGCCCTCCTCCTCTTGGTCACCAACATCTCCACCCCCCACCCCACTCACCACCGAACGCCCACACAGGGTGCTGCACAGGGGTCAAAAGGGGATGCTGTTCCCTAACCTCCAGGCATCTCAGGGCTGGGACTCTGCGCAAGCCCCACCCGGGGGAAGCGCAAGGGCACCTGGGAACTCACGGGAGCAGACAGAAGGGTGCAGACAAAGGCAGATGGGTTGTCAAGCCTGAGACTCCCCTGGGGGACAGTGGCGCTGGGGCGTTGGCAGGGCGTGGCCAGAGGCCAAGGCTGTGGCCTGTTGCTAATTCAGTTCTCACCAGCCGCCTGCCAGCCGCTGCTCCAGGCACAGGGTGCCTTTCCCAGGTTTCTAGCCCACATAGGCTTATAGCAGGTGCTGGCTCCGAGCTGGCCAGGTGGGCCTCGGGTGGACTCCTAAGGAGTGTGAGAGCCACGTGTGGGTTAAATGCTAATTGTCTGCTTTATCCTACTTGCTTGCCAGCAATTTTGAGATAGTTTAAAGGGGGGGGGGGCGGCGCCATGGCTCACTTGGTTAATTCTCTGCCTGCGGTGCCAGCATCCCATATGGGCACCAGGTTCTAGTCCTGGTTGTTCCTCTTCCAGTCCAGCTCTCTGCTGTGGCCCAGGAAGGCAGTGGAGGATGGCCCAAGTGCTTGGACCCTGGACCCGCATGGGAGACCAGGAAGAGGCACCTGGCTCCTGGCTTCGGATCGGCGTAGCTCCGGCTGTGGTGGCCATTTGGGGGGTGAACCAACGGAAGGAAGATGTCTCTCTCTCTTACTGTCTAACTCTGCCTGTCAAAAAAAAAAAAAAAAAAAAAAAAAACCTGACACATTTGCAACAAAATTTTGGGAAACTAAAAAAGCAACCAGAATAAGAAACCAATCACCTCTCTGTGCTAAAAATGAAACATATTGGAGCTTCAGGAGAGAGAAGTAATTTTTTTCCTGATAGTAAATACTAATTTACTGTGTGGTCCTTCCTTATGTAAGTGACTTTGATACTATAGTAGACAATGCCTTTAGTGGTAAGTTTTCCCAGGAAAAAAAAAATGTAGTGTTTTTTCCTGTGGTCATTTCTTTTGCCAACCATCAATAGATAACAAGGGTGTAACATCAAAATGGAACTTGGCCAAAAAATTTTTGCCTGAACAGCTAAGCTAATGTGGCTCAAATGTCAAATTTTCCGGTGACATGAACCTGTGCTATGGCAGAACTCAGAACATACAGAGGTTGGGGCCGGTGCTGTGGTTGCAGTGGGTTAATCTTCTGCCTGCAGTGCCGTCATCCCTTATGGGCACCGGTTCGAGTCCCGGCTGCTCCACTTCCCATCCAGCTCTCTGCTGTGGCCTGGGAAAGCAGTAGAAGATGGCCCAAGTCCTTGGGCCTCTGCACCCACGTGGGAGACCTGGAAGAAGCTCCCAGCTCTTGGCTTCGGATGGGCGCAGCTTCGGCCGTTGTGGCCAACTGGGGAGTGAACCAGCAGATGGAAGACTTCTCTTTCTCTCTGCCTCTCCTCTCTCTGTGTAACTCTGACTTTCAAATAAATAAATATAAAAAATTATAATTCTGTTTTGCATTTCTTGAATTATGATATCAAACAGCTTTGTTTCTGATGGCCATTGATACCCCTTTTTCCACAAACTACTTCTATATATTCCCTTGCCTCTCTGTTGAAAATCGCTTCAGTGTTTTTCATAAAATGGAGATTAGAGGAGCACTCACCTTATCAGGTTGCTTACTGTGTGCTTACTTATCCAGCACATCACAATGATCATTAAGTAGTAGCGGTTGCAACTACTCGACTTTTTTCTCCTCTTCATTAAAATGAGTTTCTGTGTGAATTAAGGCAAAATTCTTTCATCATTTGTCTTCTCCATTATTGGAAAAGTGTTTTAAACTTTATTTATTGGAGAGGCAGAGAAAGAGAGAGCTCTCCCATCCATCTCTCCCCCAATGCTAGCCACAGTCGGGGAACCTGCAGGGCTGAGACCAGGAGCTGGGAACTCAATCTGGCTCTCCTTGTGGGGACAGGAACACAGCCACACATGTGAGCTATCCCTGCAGCTTCTGCATTAGTGGAAAGATGCATCAGCCAGAAGTCAGAGGCAGGAACTGAACCCAGGTTCTCTGAGAGGGGACTCCGGCGACTTACCTGCTCGTCCAAATGCCCACCCTGGAAACAGCTTTCTTTTCTTTTCTTTTTTTTTTTTTTTTTTAAGATGTATTTATTTGAAAGAGTTACAGAGAGGCAGAGGCAGAGAGAGAGAGAGAGAGAGAGAGAGAGAGGTCTTCTATCTGCTGATTTACTCCCCAGATGGCTGCAATGGCCAGAGCTGCACCAATCCGAAGCCAGGAGCCAGGAGTTTCTTCCAGGTCTCCCACGCGGGTGCAGAGGCCCAAGGACTTGGGCCATCTTCCACTGCTTTCCCAGGCCATAGCAGAGAGCTGGATCGGAAGTGGAGCAGCCAAGACTTGAACCAGCGCCCATATGGGAATGCCGGCAGTGCAGGCGGTGGCTTTACCCACTATGCTACAGTACCGGCCCTGGAAAAACCTTGTGTATGGTAGTTTTCCACACTGAGATTTTTCTGCAAGTTGTTAAGTAATCATGTGTATCCGTTTTTTCCTTTATGACTTCTGGGTTTTCTCTCTTGCTCAGAAAAAGCTTTCCCATTTCAAAATGAACAACCGATTGGCCCACATTTCCTTGTGGAACTGACAGGGTCTTAGTATATGCAGATCTTTGACCTAAACCCCACAGTCTCCCCAGTAACCCCGGGCACTGCCACCGCCACTCACTGAGTTCTCCCTTGCCCTCCTGAGCGGTGTGGCAATGGCTGGTCTTGCCCTGTGGTTCCCCAGCATGCCCCTAACTTAAGGCTCTTTTGGCTGTGGGGATGGCTGTGAACCTGCTGGCACAGGCAGGTGTGGGGGTGGAGGGGTGGAAAGAGCGCCCAGATTGGAAGAGACATTGGCGCCCTCCCTGCCAACCTGCCCTTCCCACTGTCCGAACACCCTCCCAAGGTGCCCTGGGCCGGGCAGGGCAGGGCAGGGCAGGGCTCAAAAGGAGCTGCTAGCTGAGGTGCAATGGGCAGCCAACGCAGGGCTCTGAGAAAGCCAGCCCCAGACAGGTGCACCCCTGGAGCCTGCCTGTCTCCAAGGCCACCCCAGAGACTAGGCGAGGCCTGTGTGGGACTGGAAAACTGTGCTCTTGAAGGTGCATGCAACTGTGAACACAAACACACAGACACACACACTACAGGATGCAAGTGTGAGAACACACACACACACACACACACTACAGACACACAACAGAGGAAAACAGACCTGGCCCACTGCTTCTCCTAGGTGACCCTGGCAATCACGCAGTGACTGGGACACAGTGGAGGCCACTCCAGGATGCCCATGGCCACTCCCACTCCATTCCTTGCTCACCTGGGCTGCTTGAGACTTTGCACCAACCATTGCCTGGGGTAATGGGAAGAGATCTTGGCTCTGGGGTTCAGACCCCTCCAACGTTTGAATCCCAGCCACGCAGCTGTCGGCACCGGGCCGTGGTGGGCACACAAGTGGTGCAAACATTGCCACTCCCATGGCCTCAGTGGGCCTGGGAGCTCACCGGGGGCAGCGGGCAGGCAGGCCCTGGCAGGAGGAAGTCCTGTGTCAGAGTGACAAAGAAGGCCTCACTTCCCATGCTGTTCTCTGCTGTGCGAGGGTGGCTGAGGGGAGGGCCCGGGGCTGAGAGGGTGGGGCGGGTGGGAGCCCCCAGTCTGCGATGTCATTGTTAATCAGCCCATTTAACACACAAGGAAACGGAAGTGCAGTCGCTCAGCAGACACAGCGAGTATCCATGCTTTTCCAGGCCTGAGAAAACAAGATAATCCATTTGCACAGGGTCCGCCAGTGCAGACCGCTCCACGGTGCCCACCTGAAGGATCCCAGCCACACACCAAATGTGCCTCTGAGTTTGCCGTGGGTTTTTTCTCCTCCCCTAAGGGACAAGGGCTGTCTCCCCCAACCTGGGGATTCCCAGTGAGCAGCTCAGCATGGGGGGCCCAAACTTCAAGGGGGTGGTTATTGACAGGGTCCCCTCTTTCCTGGTGCCGTGACTTCCCTGGGACAATGGGGATGACCCTGGTCACCTGTTCCCTCTCCTTCCAGGTCATGAGTTCCTGGGGCCCCTGCAAGGCAGCAGGAAGGGAAGGGCAGCTATTTGGGTGGGACAGAGGCTAGGAGAGGCTGAAGATGCTCAGGATTAAGGAGGTAAAAATGCATGCTTATACAAGTCACATAGTTTTGGTATCAGTGGTTCTGACCTTAACTGTGATGGGTGGGTCCCTAAGCTTGAAGTTGGGGAGAGGTCTGGGCAGGGAGGGGTTCAGGTTCAAGATCAGGGTCAAGACACTCACGGCAGCACCAAGTTCCCACTCCAGCTCATAGGAACGGTGTTCTAGGGCTGACCCCTTCTGTCTCCACCCAATGCTGGGCTGCCTGGCTCCAGGCACAGCAGCCACCTTGCAAGCAGACCTGCCCACTCAGGGCCTTTGCTCTTGCTCTTGCCTGCCCAGATAGGCACTCAGCTCCCGGCCTCCTTCAAGTCCCCTTTGTGGTGTGCACCACTGACTCCTGCACCAACCCCATCTCTGCACCTGTCATGGCTCAGGGCAGCAGCAGCTCTCGGGCCAGCAGCTCTGCCAAACTCACTGAGTGCCCAGAGCAGTGAGCGTTCCATAATGGGCGCCGGGTGGGACTCATACAGCTGACCCCAGAAGGGCCCTGATGAGCTGGGTATGTCTGGGCAGCTGTGACGTCAACCCAGATCTCCTGTGGCAGCTTGAGAAGCTCCCCGAGACTTCCGGCATGGAAAAAAAAAAAAAAAGCCTCCACGACTGAGTGTCCTCACCCTGTCCAAGGTCACAGCCAAGGTGGGGGGTGGGCTTAGCCAGCAGCCCCTTGGGTCTCTCCAGCTGGAGCCCTGCTAGCTCTGCAGACTGATCTGGGGCAGCTGCTGGCTGAGGGGACCCTGAGCCTGGGATACGATCATTAAGGAGAGTGCCCGGTGCTGCTAGCCCAAGGTGGGAGCCCAGGTACCTACTGCATCCTTGTTATTTACTGTCGTGTTTTGGGTGCACAAGATGCTTGGAGCCTGGGCCAATTGGTCTTTTTTATCTCCAGCAAGGCTGAGCAGGAGCGGGGCTGGGGAAATCAGGACCCAAGAGTGCCTGGTCTGTTTCACTCTGCTGGATGTTGGCTACGGCGCTGAGCTTGGGGCTGGTTATTGAGCCCTGTGTGGCTGGTCCCATAACCATTCAGGGGTTGTTTCTTAATCTCGAAAATGGACCAACTCCCAGTGTGAGCAGGAGGATTGCACAGAGAACGCATCTCTGGAAGCTCAGCCTGGACACTCAAGTAGCCTTTGTCATTAGCCCACAGGCTCGATGCCTCCCTGGGACCCCCTACCCAGGGACCACATTCCAGATCCTTGGCCTGGAACCCACGTTTCTTGCACCTTGGGCCCGGCCCTTGGCGCATCTCTTCCCCTTCTGTCTACAGCCCCAGAGGCAGTGGCCACCTGCACACACCACCCCGCCTTTGCACAAATCGTGCTTTCTGCTAGAATGCCCCTCCCCTTTGCTACTGGGAGAATTCCAGTCCCGCCTTGCGCCCTGGGCAGCCCCAGTTATATTCCTGGCTCTGTCCCCTGCAGGCTGAGTGACCTTGGGCCAAGTTGCTTAACCCTTGAGCTTCAGTTTCCTGAGGGGATGATAACAAGGCCCACCTTGGGGCATTGGGAGAGTGACACAAGGTGGGGCCAGGAGGTGCTGGGAGATGACAGGGGTCACTGGGGCTCTTTGTGTTCTTATCAACCCCACCCTCCCCTCCCAGCTGTACCCCAGACCTCTGCCCTCTAAGATGACCAGAAGCTGGCTCTGGGGAACCACAGGGACCCTTGATGCGACTGACCTGTAATGTTGCAAACAACTCACTGGGAAGAAACCATGTTGGGGCTGGCACTGTGGAGCAGCAGGTTAAGTTGCCACTTGACGCCAGCATTCCACTTGAGTTTCAGTTCGAGTCCCAGCTGCTCTACTTCCAGTCTGGCTCCCTACTAATGCACCTGTGAAAGCAGTGTCTGTGGGGTGAGCACTGTGGCACAGCAGGTTAAAACCCTGGTCTGCAGTGCCAGCGTCGCATATGGGCGCCGGTTTGAGTCCCAGCTGCTCCACTTCCAATCCAGCTCTCTGCTATGGCCTGGGAAAGCAGTAGAAGATGGCCCAAGTCCTTGGGCCCCTGCACCTGCATGGGAGACCTAGAAGAAGCTCCTGGACCCTGACTTCGGATCAGCACAGCTCCGGCCATTGCAGCCAACTTGGGAGTGAACCAGCGGATGGAAGCCCCCCCCCCCCACTGCCTTTCCTTCTTTCTCTGTAGTCTGCCTTGCAGTCCTATAATTAAACTTGAAATGAAGCAGACTCATCGTATTGGTATAAATTTTTGG